GGTGCAATCGTGCACGCAGTCTTTGTGACAATTTCTTGTCCGAGTTTCCAAATTCCTTGCTCTCTGGAGCCTGTAGCAACGCTACACACATCCCATCACCCGCATATGCAGTGCGAATCAAATCTGTCACAGACGACGTTACAATTGTAACGTTAGCAAGCTCATAGTCTGGTCTGCGTGACAACACGTCAGCCAATCATTCTGCTTACCCGACTTATACTTCACCTCGAAATCATATTCCGCAATGAAGAATATCTATTTAGCCATCCTCTGCAAGAGTTGCGGCGACTGAGTCGCAGTGCGTAATGACGCATGATCTGTGTAGATCAGAAACGGCTTGGAGCCGAGCAGGTGGACCCTAAACTTGACAAGTGCATACTTCAATGCAAGTGAGTCCTTGTCATGAACTGGACAGTACTTCTCCGAAGCTTTAAGCTGTCGAGATTCGACCGCGATCACCCGATCTCGCCCCTCGGCGTCTGCTTGCAGCAGTACACAGCCGATAACAAAGTCCGAAGCGTCACAGACGACGCTGAAAGGACGATCAGGGTTCGGCAGTGCCAGTATTAGTTCATGCAGGAGGCTTTTGACGGGGTCAAAAGCCTCCTGATGTTCGGTATTCTAACACCATTCCGCGTCCTTTTTAAGAAGATTTGATAATGACCGGGCCATTTCTGCGTAGTTTGCGCTGTACTCGTGCAAGTAATTGGTGAAACTAAGCCAGTTACGCAAGTCCGTCTGGTTCTTTGAAACCGGCTAGTCTATATTGTCCTTGACCTTAGCGGAATCCGCTCGAAGGCCATGCTTCCCAATGAAGCACCCTAAAAGGGAATATCTTCTGCGCCAAAGATGCACTTGTTTGCATCGGCGTACAGTTTGTTAGTGCGCATGCACTCGAGCACCGCTCTTAGATGGACGATATGGTTCTCCTCATACATCCTCCCGCGCTCCGCACAACTGTGAACGAAAATGCCTTCAAAGTGTGTATGTGCATACGCCCTGTGGGGCCTGACCAACTGCATCACAAGGCCCTTGCCCTTGCCACCCCCAGAGCATACCGCTCGGAGTGCTTACCGCTGTCAGCAGAATGTCACTCGCTCTCATGAGAAATTGGTAGTATCCATCTATCAAATCGAGTGCACTGTACTTCGTACATCCCACCGTGTTGTTCTGAAGAGCATCCTTTGTAAGAATTGGCGTTTGTGCCGGAATGGTGGCAGTGTTGAGCTTATTATAAGCACGAACGATACGACACTTGCCGCTCGGCTTCCGAACACAAAACGTGGGCGTCGAGTGGGAAGACTTGCTCCCACGCACCATCCCTGCGTCGTGCTTCGCACGAAAAAAATGCGTCAATGACGTCGCACTGCTCCTTGGGCAGGGGTCATTGGCGTGTTATGCAGTATTTGGTTTCCGGAACCAAGTCAATCTCATCACGCACAGCTCGGTCCGGAGGTAGAACCGAAGGCGGGTCTTTGAAATCGACGTCTTGAAATTTCTTTACTAAAGGATAATACGGATCTAAGGGACATAGGATCGACGATCTACTCCGTGCGTTCAGCACTCTCTTGATGCCGTCCAAGACAGCTTCATTCAGG